AGATGTGTGGCGTTTTTCGCGGAGTACTCTAGCCAGGAGGTAAACCCACCACATCCTCGAGCTCTTCCGTTGATCGTCCGCGACCTCATATTCGGAAGTTCGAAGCCCACCTTATTCACGGTTAGGCGTGAGTTGACGGCCGTTCCCCTACCCGCGACTTGGGGACGCGCTCGGTAGCATAAAGCTGTGCTCTCTCAAGCGATTGCATCTCCTCCTGAGGCATTGCAAATCACGTTTCATGCGGTAGTTCTGAAAGCTGTCTCCTTTCAATTTCTTTAAAACGCCATTCCACCCGCACTTCATTTACCTTTAATTCCACCCTGCTGCGTTCCACAGACTCTATTTCCATTCTTGGATTACCTACAACTTCCGCTTTATACAGGTCTCCTTTTATAGCTAAGCTTGCTTCTCGTGGTGCGTGCAAGGTTGAATTTCTATTTCGCTGCAGATTTTTTTCAACCGAGCTCATCTTCGTCTATTGTACAAAGCTCAAATCCGCCCCGCTCCTGAATACTGCAGTTACGTGTGGGGTGGGGCTTCGTCCTCTTCCCTTTCCTTTCTTGTTCGTGTTCAACAAAAGGCTATCTGACTAATCGATGATCCTTCCATAGCATCCAGTCTGCAATCGCTATCCCATCGTCGGGCAGTTGCTTCATTGTCCCTGTTCTACCGCTACTGTTTTTTGTTCTTCGGAAGTTCCTCTTCCTGCAACTTTCACCCGCCCATCCCGTACACAGGCGTCTAGTCCTTATCATGTTTCTGTTCCCACATGTCGTACCTCTGCTCCAATTTTCTTTTTCCCCAGAACTGCCAAACTGTTTGACACCCTCCCACTTGCTGTTTCCTCCTCAACGTGCAATCTTACAATTTTTAAATGCAGAATCAATAAACTGGATCTTACGTGAATGTTCCCCTGCTCTTTCTTTTACAGTATGCTTTTTCAAATTGTTCTTTGGCAGATTTGCAGTTTGTATGTTATTTGCTCATGGGGATTTTCCCTTTTACTGTAATTCACATTTAGTAAAAAATGTATCTGAGAAGTGTGTTTCGACCCTCAAGAAGTTGTATCGTCATGCCTTTTTTCGTCACCCTTTGCGTTCTTTATGGAAGTTTACAAGGCTACTCTATATCCTTATTCCTCTTCAGGCTTGCCACATGGAATGTCCTACAGATTGCTTTGTTCGGTCTAGAAAACGGTGGAGTCAAACTCATTTCAGTGAAGGGAGTTATGGGTTTATAATACGCCGACGACATCGTCTTGCTGGGTGGCGGTGAGCGGCGGGTGAAGGGTTCGTCAAGAAAAGCGCATGCTGGGAGCAGCTTTTGTCAACCTAGGTCACCGGTAGTGAATTTCTATTAGGGCTTGAATTAGAGTTAAATCTGACTTCTAGAGCTTGAGAACCCTTGTTGTTTTATTGGGTAGATGAACGATCAACACCGGTATTCAATAGCTTTCCTGCTTGTGGTGTTGTACTATTCTGATGAACTGGTTGAGTTAGCAAATATCGGTCCGTCTTTGTTCGCGCATTGTCCACTGTTGTCGTTTGTGTGAATGGAAGACCCGGCGATTGCTACGGAACTCCCGCTGACGAACCATCTGCATTCGCAGAAATATGCAGTATTTATTACTTGAATCACCAAAATTTTGATATCTCATTCTATTTTGCTTTCTATAAATTCAATGTTTCTGACGTTTTCCTGGTGTCTGTGACTCAAACGTTTTGGACATATTGTTTCAGTGCAATCTAGTATCTTCTTGACCCTTCTAAATGTGATCTGTTAATTTCAGGTCACCGAGATTCTCAGTAATAAAGAACGTGTATCATTACATGGTTGGTTCCACGGTTTACCTCTACCGCGTCCAGCTGAACGTGAACACCCAACTCGTGTCCCGCGAATCACTCCTACACACATCGAGGTATGTTAAACCACCACATTGCAGGTTAATGCAAGCGCATCAGTCTCCTTTGCATATACCTCGTTAATCTTCGGACCGAAATGTATTTCTCGATGTGTCTTCCGCAGCCTGTTGCTTTCTTTTAACCTCTGCATTGGTTGTTCCAGTGAGTTACCTTAAGACAACAGCTAACGCTAGAGCTCGAGTGAATGCTCGTTTGAACTGACCTGTGGCGACTTGTTCACTCGTGGGCGCTTGGATTATCTCTGAGTCACAGTCAAATTAACGTGCTTTCATCGTGAATTCAACCCTCAGATCGCAGATCAGGCATCCGTCTCATGAAGCCTAAGCTGTGCGCACAATGATGCCTGATCTAAACTCTTCTGACCAAAGGATAGGAAAATCGGTTCACGTAAAACGACGTAATATAGCTACTTTTCTTTACTCAATCCAAACAGCCTACTCATTTGGAGTTCTCTCAGACTCATTACCCTACACATGACTCATTCATCATTCTGTTTGACCCTATTGAAAATGTAATTGCTCAGGCTTGAGAAGGAATTCACCGGAAACATATGTTTGCCTACATTGTGTTCTTTTTCACAACCTGATTAGCCCAGCAACGATTGTGTGCATTCAGAAAACCGACTATCTAACGTCAGTAAGAAATTGAGTTGGTTTATATCAGGCATGTCAATTGGACGAAACGTAGCCTCCGCACAGTAGTATCAATCTGAATATTACGAAACCCACCTGATGTTCTGGAGAATTTTCGCTAAGTTCCCGAACGGATTTTTCCATTGAACTGATAAAACTGACGAGATTCGAATGCAGTGTTCTGCTTCGTATCCCAAATTCCCGCTTCCTATTTTATGTCCTACATTTAACTGGTTTCAGCTTCCGTTGTTTTTGCATTCCTCCTCCTTTGATCTATTCGGCCACTACTCCAATCATATCATTTCCATTCCCGCAACATTGTCTTGTAACGATCTCGCTTTAAACTGACCGTTCGACCGACTGGTGCCCTCACAGTAATTCGAAACCTTGCAAGCTGCGAGCACTATCGGAAAATAATTGTATATCGGAAGCACGGAAAATAATCTTTGTAGAAAGTGATCAGGATTTGGATATTAGTTGTTCCGGTGGAACGGTAGATATCCTTGACCGGAATACTCTTATATCGGGCCCCATCCAGTAATATGTGAAATATTTCTACGGAATTCAATGTTTTTTTCCACAAAAAGATCTTATTTTGGTTCACTCTCGGGGTTCAGTTGATCCCTCTGTAGCTCTTCACCTCAGATAGTGAACTGAGGTATAAAAACAAGCAAGCAACGAAATGCAATTGATATTCCATTCGTGGTTTACTTAATATTGATATTCATGCACATCACCTGACACCCGAATTAAATCATCATTGTTCTTCACCTACTGTTGCAAAGTTGCTTACTTGTTCCGGTGTATATGGGTTTTTTCGGAGTCCTTTCCTTGTGTGTACATGTCAATAAACTGTAAGTTCTATTTATAAATAAGGGGTGGCAATCGACCCGGAAGTGGGTCAGTGTAAGTGGCATGCGATAAAGATTCCGTGTGCAACTTTACCGGAGAAACAGGCAAATGATAGGCGGCATAGGGTATTCTAGCCCAGCTGTCATATTCTAAAATTGGTGGCCGGTTCCGATCCAGCTGATCTTTTTGCGCCTGTGTCAGATTCGTGAGATGTGGTGTGATCCCATAGCGGGGTGGCAGTTCCAATGTGGACTGTGGCAACGGAGGCAGCGGGACAATATGTGCTGCATTGCCTTTTAGTTTCCCGTCCGACTGATTGTCACTATGACCCGGTTTAAGAATTTCCATATTTGTTTGCCATAATGTTGGGCGCTTTTCCATGATCGGTTTAACGAAGGAATCTGTTTCAAAAGCAGTCACGTTACCCTGTGTGAATCGGTGATCGATCCGTGGTCACGTGCCCCCGACCAATAAGGTCCGATCGCCTGATGAATCACGAGCTGATCCTGGATAAAACAGTTCACATCCTTTGTCACCGCATTGCTTGTTTTTTCCTCACACTTCGTTTGTTCAGTTTAAATCGGCACCAGCAGATTTATTATTGCCATTATTATTATTATTGTTATTAATATCCGCAAAACAGTCACCTATAGCACAATTTCACACTGCTTCTCAAACGAGTGATCATGTAATGGTCCTCTGTGGTAGCTTAAACCTTATACTCAGCTTGCAGTTTTTCACAAACGTTGCATTGTCAGTGGTCTGTCGACCCCTACCTAAACTGCGCAACTGCTGCCAGCTGATATCATTATTCCATCTTAAATGGAGGTTACCAACGGTATAAGTTATCTCAAAAGGCGAGGCTTCCGGTTCTGATGGTCTGTCCAAATCGAATTTTACAGATGGAGGTTCAGCCTTAAATAGGTTGGTTTTGTAGATGAAAAAAAAACTCGTAGATTCAGTGCGGAAGAGTGAACAGATCCCAACTGAATAGTGTGAGTGGTTCATCTTTCTGATTTATAAAAACAATGATAGATCCTCTTCTGATAACCACGGAGGAATTGGCTTGATCAACATTGCCTCCGAACTTCTCGCTGCCCTCATACTCCGTTAACTGTCCGCCGCACGTGGAGGGTGCACGCGTGAAAAACGCGATGGTATTAGACCTTGTAGAGGTGGTGTAGA